CATCAAGGGAACACCTCATGAGATAAAATAATCTGAACAGCCTTGAGTCCTAGACCTCTCCTCTGACGGAGCCTACCCTAATGAGAAGAAACCAGAAAACTAATTCTGGTAACATGACAAAACAAGGTTCTTTAACACCCCCAAAAAATTATACTAGATCACCAGCAATAGATCCAAACCAAGAAGAAATCCCTGATTTACCGGAAAAAAAAAATTAAAGTCAGTTATTAAGCTAATCAAAATGGCACCAGAGGAAGGTGAAACCTAATTTAAAGATTTTTTTTTAAAATAATACAAGAAATCAGGGGAGAAATCTTCAGTGAAACAGCATAAATAAAAAACAATCAAAACTTCAGGAAAAAATGGACACATTTATAGAAATGCAAAATTCTTTGTAATGTCTCAGCAATAGAATCAAACAAGCAGAAGAAAGAACTTCAGAGCTCAAAGACAGGGTTTTTGAATTAACCCAATTCAACAAAGACAAAGAACAAATAATAAGAAAATATAAAAAACACTCCCAGAAGTCTGGGATTATGTTAAATGACAAAACCTAAGAATAAATGGTATTCCTAAGAAGAGAAATCTAAAAGTATGGAACAAATATTTTGGGAAACAATTGAGGAAAACTTCCCCAGCCTTGCTAGAAACCTAGATATCCAAATACAAGAAACTAAAAGAACACCTGAAAATTTGATCACAAAAAATCATCACCTAGGCACAATGTCATCATGTTATCTAAAGTTAAGATGTAGTAAAGAACGTTAAGAGCTGTGAGGCAAAGGCATCAGGTAAACTACAAAGCAAAATCTATCATATTAACAGCAGATTTTTCAGCAGAAACCCTACAAGCTAGAAGGGATTGGGGTCCTATCATCAGCCTCCTTGAACAAAACAATTAGCCAAGAATTTTGTATCCAGCAAAGCTAAGCTTCATAAGGAAAGATACAGTCTTTTTCAGACAAACAAATGCTGATAGAATTTACCACTACCAAGTCAGCACTACAAGAACTGCTAAAAGGAGCTCTAAATCTTTAAACAAATCTGAAAACACATCACAACAGAACATCTTTAAAGCATAAATCTCACAAGACCTATAAAACAAAAATACAACTTTTTTAAAAAAGAAAGGTATACAGGCAACCAACAGCATAATGAATGGAATAGCACCTCACACCTCAACACTAACGTTGAATGTAAATGTACTAAATGCTCCATTTAAATGACACAAAATTGCAGAATAGATAAGAATTCACCAGCCACCTATCTGCTGCCTTCAAGAGACTCACCTAACAAATGAGATTCAAACTTAAGGTAAAGGGGCGGAAAAAGACATTCCATGCAAATGGACACTAAAAGGGAGCAGAAGTAGCTAGTCTTGTATGGAACAAAAAGTATTTTAAAGCAACAGAAGTTAAAGACAAAGAGGGAAATTACATAATGATAAAAGGCCTAGATCAACAGGAAAATATCACAATCCTAAATATATATGCACCTAAAACAGAAGTTCCCAAATTTACAAAACAATTACTAATAGACCTAAGAAATGAGATAGGCAGCAACACAATAATAGTAGAGGACTTCAATACTCCACTGACAGCATTAGACAGGTCATCAAGACAGAAAGTCAAAAAAGAAGTAATGAATTTAAACTATATCCTAGAACATATGGCTTAACAGATATTTATAGAAGATTCTACCCAACAACCACAGAATATATATTCTATTCATGAGTGCATGGAACTTTCTCCAAGATAGACCATATGATAGGCCATTAAACACACCTCAATAAATTCAAGAAAATTGAAATTACCTCAAGCACTCTCTTAGACCACAGTGGGCTAAAACTAGGAATCAACTCCAAAAGGAATCTCCAAAACCATGCAAATACATGAAAATTAAATAGCCTCCTCCTGAATGGTAACTGGGTCAAGATGGAAATTAAATATTATTTGAACTGAATGAAAATAGTTCAAATCTATTTAATCTATCAAAAGCCCTAAGATACAGCAAAGGCAGTGCTAAGATGAAAGCTCATATCCCTAAGCACTTATACTGAAAAGTCTAAAAGAGCAAATCAGACAATCTAAAGTCATACATCAAGGAAATAGAGAAACAAGAACAAATCAAACCCAAACCCAGCAGAATAAAGAAAATAAAGAAATCAGAGAAAAATTAAAAGAAATTGAAACAATAATATACAAAAGATATATGAAACCCAAAAATGGTTCTTTGAAAAGATAAATAAAATTGATAGACTACTCACAAGAATAACTATAGCAGTAGGGATAAAATCCAAATAAGCTCAATTAGAAACAAAACAGAATATATTACAACTTACACCACGGAAATAAAAAGAGCACTCAAGACTAGTATAAAGACATTTACATGCACAGATAACCTAGAGTATATGAAAAAGTTCCTGGAAAGATACATCCCTCTAGCTTAAATCAGGATGAATTAGATACCCTGAACAGACCAATAACATGCAGTGAAACTGAAATGGTAACATAAAAATTACTAACAAAAAAAGAAGTCCAGGACCAGGAAGATTCACAACTGAATTCTTCCAGACATTAAAAAATGAATTCATACCAATCCTATTGACACTATTCCACAAGACAGAGAAAAAGTAAATCCTCCCTAAATCATTCAATGAACCCAGTATCACTTTAATACGAAAACCAGAAAAGGACATAACCAAGAAATAAAACCACAGACCAATATCCCTGATGAATATAGATGCAAAAATTCTTAATAAAAGAATTTTTATTAAGCTAACCAAATTTTTACCAGCTGACCAAATCCAACAACATATCAAAAAGATAATCCATCATAATCAAGTCAGTTTCATACCAGGGATGCAGGGTTGATTTAACATATGCAAGTCAAATAATGTGATAAAACACATAAACAGAATTAAAAACAAAACTTACACAATTATCTCAATAGAAGCATAAAAAGCACTTGACAAAATCCAGCATCCTCTTTTGATTAAAACTGTCAGCAAAACTGGCAGGCAAGGGACATGCCTCAATGTAATAAAAGCCAACTATGACAAACTCACAGCCAACATAATACTGAATGGGGAAAAATTGAAAGCATTTCATCTTAGGACTGGAACAAGACAAGGATATCCGCAGTCACCACTTCTCTTCAACATAGCACTGGAAGTCTTAGCCAGAGCACTCAGACAGGATAAAGAAATCAGGAGCATCCATATTGGTAAAGAGGAAGTCAAACTGTCACCATTTGCTGATGATATTATTGTATATTTAGAACACTCTGAAGACTCCTCCAAAAAGCTCCTAGAACTGATAAAAGAATTCAGCAAAGTTTCTGGATACAAAATTAATGTACACAAATCAGTAGCTCTCCTATACACCAACAGTGACCAAGCTGAGCATCAAATCAATAACTCAACATCTTTTATCATAGCTGCAAAAAATTAAAATACTTAAGAATATACCTAACCAAGGAAGTGAAAAATCTCAACAAGGAAAATTACAAAACACTCCTTTAAGAAAACAGACAGCACAAACAAATGGAAACACATTTCATGCTCATGGATGAGTAGATTCAATATTGTGAAAACGACTATACTGTCAAAAGCGATTTACAAATTCAATGGAATTCCCATCAAAATATCACCATCATTCTTCACTGAGCTAGAAAAAAAGAAATCCTAAAATTCTATGAAACCAAAAAAGAACCCGCATTGCCAAAGCAAGCCCAAGCAAAAAGAACATATCTGGAGGTATCACAATATATACAAACTATACTAAGGCCGTAGTCACCAAAACAGCATGTTACTCATATAAAAATAGGTGCATAGACCAATGGAACAGAATAGAAAACCCAGAAATAAAGCCAAATTCTTACAGCCAAATGATCTTCCACAAAGCAAACGAAAACATAAAGTGGGAAAGGGACATCCTTTCAACAAATTGCGCTGGGATAATTGACAAGCCACATACAGGAGAATGAAACAGGATCTTCATCTCTTATCTTATACAAAAATCATCTCAAGATGGATTAACAACTTAAATCTAAGACCTGAAACGATAAAAAATTCTAGAAAAATGACATCAGAAAAACTATTCTAAGCATTGGCTTACACAAGGATTTCATGACCAAGAGCCAAGCAAATACAATAAAAACAAAAATAAATAGTTGGAACTTAATTAAACTAAAGAGCTTTTGCATGGCAAAAGAAATAGAAGAGTAAACAGGCAACCCAAAGAGCGGGAGAAAATCTTCACAATCTATATATCTGACAAAAGACTAATATTCAGAATCTATAACAAACTCAAACAAATTAGCAAGAAAAAAAACAAACAATTCCATCAAAATGTGGGCTAAGAACATGAACAAACAATTCCCAAAAGAAGATATGCAAATGGCCAGAAGCATATGAAAAAATGCTCCATTTCACTAAGGATCAGGGAAAGGCAAATCAAAACCACAATGCAATACCACCTTACTCCTGCAAGAATGGCCATAATCAAAAAACAATAGATTCTGGCACAAAAGTGATAAACAGGGAACACTTCCACACTGCTGGGGGGAATGCAAACTAGTACAACTACTTTGGAAAACAGTGTGGAGTTTCCTTTATAAAGTAGAACTACCATTTGATCCAGCAATCCCACTACTGGGAATCTATCCAGAGGAAAAGATATCATCATCCAAAAAAGATAATTGCACACACATCTTTATAGCAGCACAATTTGCAATTGCAAAAATGTGAAAGCAACCCAAATGCCCATCAATCAACTAGTGGATGATGAAAGTGTGGCATATCTATCTATCTATCTATAGATATAGATATAGATATAGATATAGATAGATATAGATATAGATATGTACACGTTGGAATACTACTCAGCCATAAGAAAGGAATGAATTAATGACGTTCACAGCAACCTGGATAGAGACTATTATTCTAAGTAAAGTAACTCAGATATGAAAAATTAAACATCTGATGTTTTCACACATAGGTGGAAGCCAAGCTATGAGGATGCATAGGCGTAAGAATGACACAATGGACTTTGGGAACTCAGGGGGAAAGGGTGGGAAGCAGGTGAGGGATAAAAAACTATAAACTGAGTGTAGTGTATACTACTTGGGTGATGGGTACACCAAAATCTCGCAAATCACCATTAAAGAACTTATGTAACCAAACACCACCCATTTCCCAATAACCTATGGCAAATAAAAGTTTTTTAAAATTAACTTACAAAAGAGACATATGCTTAAAAAAAAAAAAAAAGTTGAGATTTTAACTCAGGTCTGTCCAATTCTAAGGTGGGATCTTTGCTGGCTCTCACCTGGTGGTGAATTAGCCAGAGTAACTTCCCAGCAAATAGTGGATTCATGAGCCATGTACTCTGCTCTGGCTATTGTTCTTCCCAGAGATAAGGTAATGGTTCCCTTCTGCATTCCAGCAGAAATACCCTTTGTGCTGAATGTTTTCTTTCACCAGATCAGTAAAGCCACCACTCATAATCCATTGCCTGAACCTTAGAAATGCTTCTGATAGAGTAAATTTCTCACCACAGAAACACTTCTTACTGAATGAAAGGTTTGATGTATAGAAGTGCCTGTAACTTGCCTTGAAAGGAAATGAACACACTATTGACAGTTTATGATACAAATCCCACAGGCTAAAGACAACATTTTTAGGAGTTTCTTGGAAATGCTTGGTAGTTACATTATATGCCTGGAGAAGGCAAGAAAATCAGAGGAGGATAGGGACTACTCAAGTCTTTTTTTTCTTTCACAGTTCTTTGCTCCATTCCTGTGCTGTGTTTGACTAGGCCTTCTTCTTTTTCCACTCAAATGGAAGGAGTATTTTTCTACCATTAGAACTACACAAGACATTTGCTTCTCAAGAAGCACAAACTTGCAGCCATTTTTGGTTTTCCCTTGAGGCAACAAGTGGACAAACATGAGGAAAAACATGAACCATTTACATAGGGCAGGGGGATGTTCAGGAGCAGGCTTTAAAGCGGGTGAAAGCACATGTTGGTTTCTACAGGCCATGCACATATATGAAGGATTCCACGCATAGCTCATAAAGCAGCCTCCAGAAAAATGTATAACTAGCAGGTTTTCAGAGGCCCAGCCCTCAATCTCTTCACTTCTCACTCCCCATGACCCCAGTTGCACGGTGGCATTTCAAAACAACCTCAAGATCCAACCAGAACATAAATACTCACTGACACTTTTGATTACTTGCTGAGGTGGCAGCCCAATCTCGAGCTGCAAGAGTCCAGGAGTGCTGTTTTTTCTGAGAGCTGTTTTCCTGACAACTCCAATGTCAGAGGGGTGGCAAGTTCATGTTTTCCAGGTCTTACAGTCTGAATGGCAGTAGATATATAGTAAAGTATGTCACTTGCAGTATTAATGGCAGGCTTGCTCCTGGGCACTGCTGAGAAATGTCCGAGTCCTGTGATAAAAAGGAAGGAGTCCATTATGGGGGAGGCAACCATGGCCTGGCCCCCTTTGGGTAGAATATGAAGAAGAGACACATGTGGGCTCAAAATATACTCAAGAGTGGCTGGGATTTGAAAGAAAACACAGTGAGTGTCTGTGTTGAGCGTTAGAGGTATTATGCACCAACTATGTGACTTAGACAAATGATCTAATTTCTTTTTAACCTAAGGGATCTCAGTTTCTCTGGATATGAAATTCAGAAAATAATATCTACCTTGTAAGATTGTTTTGAGGAAGTGTGTTAAATGTGGTAAGCTACATGAAAATTTCTATCAGTGTGTTTAATATGTGGTAATTTATTTTGAAAGACAAAATATTGTAATTGCCAGGACTGCTCTGTGATTTATGGGGACATAGGATACAACATTTAAAGTCTCTTCCTGGCCCAGAGACTATAACCATCTTTCTGGCAACCTCAGCCCTTCTTTGACCCTCATCCTGTCAGATAGATTCTCTAAGAAAGAGTCCTAGATGTGTCTGCATGCCTGTCTTGTCTGCTCTTAACCATTTGCTTTGAATATATAGACTTCTGTTAATTCAATTTGTTAAGCAGTCACCAAAGTGCAGTGGATACATTATGATCCTAGAAGTAATATAAACATAACTTTGAAGTCTACCTCCATCCCTTTTGCAGTTATTCAGACTGAGATGGAATCCCAACTCCAACCCTCTCAAACCTCAGTTTTGTCGTTTTCAAAAATGTGATTATACCTGTACCACAAAGTGGTTGTAAGGTAAAATTACATGAGATAATGTACAATAGAGTTTAAGTACAGTGCTGGGCACGTAATAGGCACACAATAAATATTAACACCTCTTCCTGTCACATCCACCAAAGCCTGTGGCAGTCTGATTGGTGAAAATATATTGAGTACTTGTATTTTCTGTACATAGAGAAAATAATGTATTTTATCCTTTCTACGTAAAAATATTTCAAAGAGTGAATTTTATATCATCTGGGCTCACTCCATATATTTCTGTACTCCACAGTCCATGTCTACAATATCCCTGGAGCACTACCCATCTTTCGAGGAGAAGAACCACCAGCCTTCACCCTACAATGGAGGATTGCTCACATTTATCAGATCAAGTGCATACTCTCTAAGCATTCTTTAGATTCTATTGCTGTGGCAACCATACATATCAGTTTTTCCAGGACAGACCCAACTTTAAGTATTGTATCCAATGTCCTCATAAATCAGAGCAGTCCTGGCAATTACAATACTTTGTCTTTCAAAATACATTTCCTACCTCTGCCACTTTTACCCAGAAGCATCATAAAATCATTTGATAGGCCATAGGACCACATAATACACTCAGAAATTAAGGTCACTGTATCCAGAGTGTTCTGCTGTATGTCCCACATGATGTAACACCTTCCCACTCACTCATTCTTTCACACAAGCATTTATTGAGCACTCACTATCTGCCAGGTGAATGGCGCCACAAAAGTAAATATGTTCTACAAGAAAGGCAGACGTAAAAGAAAAGAAATTGTAGTATAATATGATAAAGAGGATGCTGCGGTAATCAAAAGTAGAGAATGGCTAGCTAGTTCTACCTGAGGATAATAAAAAGACTTTCTTAGAGGAAGAGGCATTTGGACTTGGACTTAAATGATAACTGTAAATAATAAATGAATCATAACTAGCTAAAATTTTGCTAAATAGATGCTGTTGTGGAGTTAAGAGGTATTCCATTATATTATTGACTTTCATTTTAAAAGCTCATATAATATTTTATGTAATATTTCAATTTCTCTAGAAAGCAACACAGCAGAAATATTCCCATAATAATAACCCTACCCTCACTCCTATCTTTCATTAAAGAGAAATTAATAATACCTACTGTTTGTGGCCATCAGGTAGCTGAAGTTGCACTCCTATTAGAAACTGTCCTTTTCAAATATCATTACCTACTCACAAAACATGAGTTTTAAGGAAAGATATATAACATGCATACCCCATATAAAGATACATATGCCTATTACTTATAATGTGTAATTCTATGACTATGTGCACATACTACACACACACACACACACACACACACACACACACACAGTAAACTCTATGTGCAGAAACAAAATTGGCAGCCAGAACTTCTTGAGTACAGTGTTTTAACTGGGGTTTAAACAACACTGAAGTTGATTGTTATATGCTATTTAAAATTTTTAAAGGTTAACTAAAAACAATTACGTTCACTAAAACAGTTTTGATGCCTTTGAATTTTGACTTTATAAAAAATATATTAATTGCATTGATATTTATCTCACCATTTGTTAATTGAATGAAGATGGGCCTTCTTGTTAACCTTAATTGTCATGCCCTGTTTTCTAACTTAGTAAAGGGGTTTTTTCATTTACTTTTTTCTCTATAGCCTCAGCCCCAGCTTTCTGCCTAGCAAAGGCATGCCATTTGTCACGGGGGCCAGGCAAGACAGAGTGAACGGCTCATTGAAATCCATCTGAGCTTGTGAGAACAGCTAATCCTCAGGCATGCCCTGCTTTAAGGCGGGGTGTGTCAGGCACTCCCTATATTAAGTCTTAAACGTGAAGACAAAAATGCCCCCAGAACAAACCAAAGCTGTGGACAGAAACATAACTGCAAGTGTTTCAGCAGGAAAAAAAAAAAAAAAAAACTGGTGAATTAACAGTGAAATAAAAAGTCTTCATGACCAAGAAGATGCTATCATTGGTTTTGCGATTTTCATCTCTTTTTTCTTGAGAATGAATCCAGGAGCAAACTTGGAGACTATGGTTAGAAATGAGTTAACTTCTGGTCAATATTTAAAAGCCAAGAACCTTCAACTGTCTGCAGAGGCAGCCAATATGAAAGGTGAAAAAAATAACCAAAAACACATCCAGCCCTGCTTAACCAACATGGAATTTCTCTGTCCTTCAAGCCCTGGTCAGCTTTCACAATTCACCTTTGTTAGGAAACAAGCAGCTATACATTTCTCATATAAATTTCAACTAGCCACTGCTCATTTGCATCTCCTCCTTCAAACTCAGTCATCCCAATTTTTCTGAGGTTAGCTGACCAGCAGCTGAGAAGAGACCTTTTCTCTATGAATGCATAACTGGTCATTGATGAACAAACAGGCACTCAGTCTATCTGACCGAGGGAAAAAAAAATCCCTGACCATCATTCCAGATGTCCCTGTCGGTCAACACAATCTCCATATAATTTATAAGGTATTAAATATCAAAAATAATGGATCTTTTCACTTAGCATCTTGGCAGATGATGATAGTAGTACATTTTATTTGAGAGGCCAGCACAGACTTCTCCTAGTAAAACTGCAAACTGAAAACTGTGAGGATTGGCCCCAGAGCCTCCTAGAAAAATGCTGCCATTATACTCCATTACAGTTAAAGCTATGTAAGCACTTCCTGGATGACATCCAATCACACAGCACTTTTCCCTTCCTTCTTGCTCACTTTTTCTTTCTTTTTTTCTTTTTTAATAAAAATATGTTCTTTCAATGGCTAGACAGTGGTTTCTAGTAAAGAAGCAGACTGCAAATCAACCAAGAAAATGTGTGCTGAAAGGAATGACAGATTTTTCAGAATCACCACTAACAAGATACTTCTTTGTAGTCAACTTTATGTGTTGTGAGACATGCCATGTGGACTGGGAGCTCCAGTCTAATATGTAACTCAGAAGTGCCAACAAATACCAGAATGTACAAATTAAATGACAGGAGACTGCAAAAGGAAAAGTGGAG